ATCCACAGACTTACAGAATGCCTTATCCACTGTCACGATATTCCACACAGCATTGCTTCTGACCAAGGAACTTACTTCGCAGCAAGAGAAGTGTGGCAATAGACCCATGCTCTTGGAATTCACTGGTCTCTCTATGCTCGCCACCATCCTGAAGCAGCTGGCTTGATAGAACAGTGCAATGGCCTTTTGAAGACTCAGTTACAGCACCAGCTAGGAAGCAATATCTTGCAGGGCTGGGGCAAAGTTTTTCAGAGGCTGTACACGCTCTGAATCAGTTTCTAATATATGGTGCTATTTCTCTGATGGCCAGAACTCATGGGTCCAGGAATCAAGGGGTGGAAATGGGAGTGGCACCAGTCATTATTACCCCTAGTGACCCACTAGCAAAATTTTTGTTTCCCACAACCCTATGCTCTGCTGGCCTAGAGAGAGGGGTACTTCCACCAGGAGACACAAGGATTCCTTTGAACTGGAAGTTTAAGACTTCTGCCCAGCCAGCTTAGTCTCCTCATGCCTCTGAGTCAACAGGCAAAGAAAGGAGTTACTGTGTCAGCTGGGATGATTGATCCTGAAATTAAACTACTACTCCACAATGCAGGTAAGGAAGGGTATGTCTGGAATATAGGACATCCCTTAGGGTGTCTCTTAGTATTACCATGGCGTGTGACGAAGGGCAATGGGAAACTACAATAATCCAGTCCAGTCAGGACTATACTCATGGCCCAGACCCTTCAGGAGTGAAGGTTTGGGTCACCGCCAGGTAAAGAACTAAAACCATGACCAGCTGAGGTGCTTGCTAAAGGCGGGTACTATTTTCATTATCATCTGGCAGCTGGCTGGTAAGGAGATCCGAACCCTTGACCTTGGTGTTACAAGACAGTGCTGTAACCAACTGAACTAACCAGCTAGCCCAAGACGGGTATTATAGAATGGGTAGTGGGAGAAGATAGTTATAAATACCAGCTACAACCATGTGACCAGTTACAGAAACAAGGACTGTAATTGTCATGAGTATTTCCTCCTTATTTTGTTATGTTTATGTGTATATACATAATATCTTTGTTTCTTTCCTCTCTTATTCCCTTATAATGTAAGATGAATTAGCTTTATAGCACAGTATTTAAGTTAATTTTACATCATAGTGTTTAAGTTACCAGATATCAAGGAGAAGAGTAAACATCACTCAAGGACTTTACCTCTTGTTCTGGGGAAGGAACTAGCACATTTTTGGTTGTATGCAGGATAATTGTATCACATCAGATAGAATTATGACTTGGTTATTGTCTTTATTTGGAGATTAAATATGGCTTAAGGAGATGCATATAGGTGCCAACTTGACTTATGATAGTTAATTTTATGTGTCAACTTGACTGGGCCATGGAGCACCCAAATATTTGGTTAAACATTATGTTGGGTGTGACTATGAGACCATTTGAACTGGCAGACTGAGTAAAGCAGATTGCCCTCCCCAATGTGGGTGGCTCTCAGTCAATCGGGTGAAGCCTGAATAGCACAAAAAGGCAGAGTAAGGGGAAATTTACTCTCTGCCTGACTATCTTGGAGCTGGGACATCAGTCTTCTCCTGCCTTTGGACTTGGAGGCTGACTGGAACTTACATCATCAGCTCTCCTGGTTCTCAGGCCTTTAGACTCAGACTAGACCTCAGAGAGAACCATTGTCTCTCCTGGGTCGCTAGCTGGTTGACTGCAGATCTTGGCTTAGTCTCTATAAATGCATGAATCAATTCCTTATAATAAATCTCTTTCTATATCTATATTGGTTCTGTTTCTCTGGAGAATCTAGACTAATACAGTAAACATAGAAATCTCCTTAATTCTTTTGAATGACCAGATCGTATTCCAAATGATGAATGTGTCATAACTTAATCATCCTCACTGACACAGACTTTTTCTAGTTTTCTAGACTTTTTCCAGTTTTCCAGACTTTTTCTAATTTCAGCAATGTAGCAGTAAATATCTGTACACATACTTCATTGTGGACATGTGCTACCATTCCTGAAGACCAAGAACTGTGATTTACGAATCTTAAAAGTGACATATATTTGCTCTGTGTGCATTTTATATGACATCATGAGCCTTATACTGCAATTTCTCAAAAAAAAAAACTCTGTATTGTGTATGTTCTGTAAAATGTCAGGCATGTTGTGGCTCCTTAATACATATTTTAAAACAACAATAATTTTCAGAATAGCCAGTCAATTCATGTAACAAAACTAGCTAAATACCAGTAGGGACATTCTTTTTAACTGGGTCTCTTCTACTGCATAAGTCTTTTCCACAAGCCAAAGGACTTTGGCTATTTCTTTGTAGGAAGCCAAATGAGTCTCTTTGGGCTTCTTCTTGTAACAAACATGCAATAGAATTATGATTTTGGAATCATTTCCATTGCAAATCCCCTCTTTCCACACCCCTTTAAAAGGCAGCTGTGATATCTGGCTTCTAATCAAGACCTGCTGCACCAACAATTCTCAATTTTATTTATATTTCATGTGCAGTATGTTTGAACTCTCACTTTCCCAGGTGCCAGATGCTGGTTTGGACACATTCCAGTGGAAAGTGCTTTCCTGTAAAATAATAAAATTAAAATGCTGAACAAACCGCCTTTTTATATCAGACTTGCACCTAATACACCAAAGTTAAGTACTCTAATATGACTTCACTGTTTTTCCAAATTTGCAATCCCCAGAATTCCCTCTTAACCTACCTCCACCCCAAATACTTTGTCCTTTGGCTTCCATAGGATGTAAATGCTTAGTCCTTTCTCATTTCTTTAGTGTTCATTTGAAAATGTCAGAATGTGGGAATCCATCTGTCTAATACGCTTTCAATAGCGCCTAATCCACATAACCACCCATGGGTATTTCAAATATGATTTGGATGAGAAAATAACGCATCTCAACCCATTTACAGGATTTTTTAAAACAGGATTTTAAAAGACATCTAATAATTTAATACATGTTATGTAAATCGCTTTTAAATGTTTTCACTAAAAAGTGATGCTTTCTGTATGTTTTATAATGATACTGTCCCTGCAGTGGCACAGAATTTTGGCATGACACTCTCCTAAGAATTAACATGGAATTCACCTTTGTGATAGGGGTCTTATCTGCTTAAAGACATTCCTCAGTCTGAAGATACAACTTGTGAAATGAGTAATATTAGGGGTTGCTAAGAAAAAGGATGTACTTTGTAGAGATTGTCAGTTCACTCTCGGCTTCTGTCTGCATCTCTTTACGTGGTGACATTTCACTGAGCTGAGAACCTGTATTTCTATTGTAGAAAAACGAAGAGCTTTAGGCATGGAAGCTTGTAACCGTGCCAAAGTTAACTGCTGTGACTTGTGCGTGGAAAGCTGCTGTACAATACAGTGCTCTGCCGGGCCTGGCCAGGATCTCTTTTCACACATCAGGCTCTGCTAGACCTCATTTTCTTTTCACTCTTTCCATTAGATGGCGGTGGATGTCCAAGAAATAAACTTCCACAGCGGCGGTGGAGGGCTCCGAGAAGGGCGTTCTTTTGCTTTCACTGGGTTGTTGGTGGCTGAGCTCACACACACCGATGGCCTCTGCTGCGGGTGGGCAGAGGGTTTTTTTTTTTCGTGTGTGAGTAGTTGGGGAGAGACTTGCCACAGACCACCTGTTTCATCGAGGTTCTCCCTAAGCATCGGGAAGCATCTTGCCAGCTGGGAAAAAAACAATCCCTAGAATTTTTTTCAGCCATCAACAGACTTGATACAAACTTTGGAGCCAATGTGGGAGAGCAGCCAGCATTGATTCAGAGATGCTGCGGCATCTGCTGCATTCATTTGTGGCGAAGGAAGACAGCCATTCGCTGCGACCCGAGGGCTGAGACCCCACACTGCGCCCTGCATTCGACACAGGAGTACTCACGAATTCTCTCTCATGTGCCTAGCAGCCAGCAAAAGCTGCACAGGGGCTGGCCGGTTAGCTCAGCTGGTTACAGCACTGCTTTGTAACGCCAAGGTCAAGGGTTCGGTTCCGGCCAGCTTAAAAAAAAAAAAAAAAAAAAAAAAGCTATTAGAAGCTGCACAGGCAACAATAGAAGAGGTGGCGGCCTGCAGTCGTCTTATAACACAGAACACAAAACATACGCACAGACAAATAATCGCAGAGCAAGAGCCAGCCTGATAAAGTGATGACTGTGTGGTGAGGACAGTAAATCCTAGAAGCATTCCGAGAGGCCAGCGGGGTCCGAAGGGGACTGTGGGCTAGGCTTCGTGCAGGGAGAGAGAGAAGAGGTGGAGAACGGGAAGAAGGGGTAAAGGGCTCGGGGTGCGGGGCAGGCTTTGGAGAAGTCTGCAGAGGAAATGGGGACAGTAGTCTGGGCAAGTTCAGCTCAGCGCAGACGACAGCCTCGGGAAGCGCAGGCTCAGCGGGCCCTTCTTTCTTTCCTTAGGCCCTGGGCACTCCGGTTTCTCGCCAGGGTTCCCCGGCTCACTTTGGCCAAGCTGCGTGAAGCCGCGCCGCCCAGGTCCCGCGTCCCTGCGCCCAGGCGCCAGCTGCGGCGAACCCCGCCTCGGCGGCCCGC